CAAAGTCACACAATGAAATGCCTTAGTACTCACCATGATAAGGTATCTCCAGGGGGAGTGGCTGAAATTGACCTGCATCTGCAAAAGGCCACATGACTGCCTCGGTGGCTATCACATCATTCTCCTGGGCAGGACTCCAGGCTAACACAGCAGGATCTTCAATCCACACTTCTGTGGACGACACAGAAGCATCCACATCTAGAGGATCACCCTCTGTCCGTATTGCTGCCCATGGAGCAGTGACTTCCACATCCTCTTTTCCCTCTGTTGGTAAGCTTGCCAGAGTAGGTTCTACAAATTCCTGTAGCTCAGAAGATCCCTCAGTGGGGACCCCTTGCAGCAGCTCTTGCTGCTGCTGTTCGTCTTCTTCCCCTTGGCCATCAGACTGTGGTGAGATAATCAAGTTGCTTAAGCTTGTCATCAGTAGCTTTGGGCCTTCTTGCCACTCCACAGCCGAAATGGCCGATACTTGGTCCAGTTCTGAAGCCCTCTCATTAGTGCAACCTCCCCCAGCCCCCTTCTCCAGCCACTGCTGCAGCAGGGCTTGCTTCTCCTCCAAGTTCGGCTTCCCACCGACTGGAGCAGAAAGGCCGTCTATAGATGTGCTCTTTGGCAGAAGCGCGTTCTTTCGACAGGTAAAGAAAGCATCTGTCAAAAATATAAACATGTTCACTTTAGAAACAACTCGCTTAAGTGTAGTAAAAGTAACTGCAACAATCCTTTTAACAATTTACAAACACCAATAAACGCTGGCACAGAGAAAATCACTGTTTTCTATATCAGGGATTTCCAACCTCTCTGGGAAAGTGAGAAAGATTCAGATTTTGAGAGTCCATTGTTGGTACATTGACAAAGTGGTTGACTAGTGGTAAGGGCTAAATACCCATTATGGGAAGGCAAGCAAAGCCCTGGATTGCACTCGTCATTTTATTTCATGCAAGATGATGTTTATTATTAATTTCCCCCCAAAAAAGTATCTGGGTTCTATATGGAGTCCAGAAGCATTTTAGCAAAGACAGATTATGTTTGAGAATAGTAGTATCCTTCTCATCCAGAAAGATTAAAAAATAGAATACACAAAACATGAAGACTGAGTAGGGCAAGAAGTTTGAAAAGCACAAAGAAATGTGTTGGTGAATATGTTGTTGCTTTTGGGATCAAAATAAGGAGCCAGGATCTATAACAACTTTGCACTGCAGTATGTAAGTCTCACATAGGATTTTGAACATTTGGGTTTAGCAACATCAACATCTTATCATTTAGTTGAATTTGAAATCAGCCAGGAACTTTTCTATTCTTGATTCAAATAAAAGCAAATTAATTAACATTAATTTCAAAAATTAGTTGACCAGGTCAATAACCACTACGTACTGTAGTAATAAAGACCCAAAGGACAAAGTAATTAAAATTTTACTTTGCAAATGTGACTAAAAGAAGACAGAATAGTTACACCCAAAAAGCCATGCTATCTAGGATTGAGGGTCTGAAATGTGATATAGTGCAGTCTCAAACCATCCTGATTATTAGAAAGTAAGTTACTTTAAAACAAGTGGCTCCTTTCTACATCTCACAACAGGGCGATGGGGGCACAAGAAATTGTTTTTAGGCTATCCAGAAAATTGAAATGAGACACATGAAGTCCAAGGCATTCTGATAATCAAAATCACAGATTTTGGTAGGAAAAAAAGCTACTGCTCTTATATTCTCTCCCTTCCCATTGCGCAGCAGGGAAAATAAAACCGATCTACCTCACAAGGCTGCAAGAAAATAATGCAAGTAAAGCGTGGAAAGTTAATTATTAGCCAAAATAAGCTTGTTTCTGTTCCCTCAATGCCCAACTGCCTTTTTTTCCCCCTCACACGCGCCCATTTCTTCCTCCGACCATTATTAGCCTTTTCTTACAGATTTTAAAACCACAGTATTAATCACAAGCACCCGTTTCAGGGCGGATCTCCGCTTTACAAGCAACGTCACGGCCGCTGTTTTGATTCTCCGAGAGGAGAAACTTCAACAGCACGCCGGAAGGCGGGACGGGGAGGGGGGCGGGAAGGCCCAATGAAAGCCCGGCTCCAAGCGCTGGGCGGAGACCAGCGGCGCAAGCGAGGTACCCTCGGCGGGCGCCCTGCCGCCGTTGGGCCAGTTGCCCGGCTTAGGCCGGAGGAGCCTGGCAGGCGAGCGAGAGGCCTCGCCGGGGCGGCAGCGGCTACCAAGCAGCCCTGCCCTTGCCTGATTGGACGCTCTGTCCCGTCATCCCGCCTTGAGAGGGGAGCGGACGGTCCCGAGTTGGGACAAGAGGCGAAGGGTAGACGGGACGGGGGGACGGACAAGACACGAGTCCGAAGAGGGGAGGCGGTTACCTTGGAAAGCCTGCAGGAGCCGCGATAGGGGCAGCAGGACGTAACAGAGGACCGTCCCGATCATCCCGCCAGCCCGCTCCTCCTTCCCCTCCCTTCCCGGCCGCTAGCCAGCCACGCGGAAGGCTTGGCTCCGCCTCGCCCAAACTCTCGCAGGTCGACGGCAGGGCTGCGGCAGAGGCGGCTGGCTCGGAGTTTTCTCTCCCGGAGGCGATTGGGAGGCTGGTCTTGGGACAAGGCCCTTCCCCGCGGAGCCCCAGCCCGCCGCCTCCTTCCCCTTCGGCGCCACACCGACTTGCAAACGAGAAGCAGCACGCGGAAAGCCAAACCCCAAACCGCACCCCTTCCCTTCGCGGTGCTTGGGAGTCCCAGATATGCGGCGCCTGCTGGGTACAGCAGTCCCGCGGCCTGGAGTTGGGGGGGGGGGTGTCACTTGGGCAGAAGAGCAAATTTAAAGGGAGCTGCAGGGTTTTACTCTACCTCGCAGGACTGTCCCGCGGGCGGCGGAGGGGGGTAGAGAAACGTCAACTCCGACTGCCGCCCCTCCCCTCCTTGAGTTGATTGGGGGGGGGAGGGCGAGATGGGTAAACTTCCCAAGGTTTAATGGAAGAGATTGACAGAAAACCATCTGCTTCACTGTTCTAGGGTGACAGAATCAAGGGATCGATTCAACTTGCTGTTTACACTTTTTTTTTAAAGGTGTTTATATCGGCAGCTGGCACACTGTTAATTTATTACATTATTTCATCATCTCAATACATTGATAGTTTGTCAACACCCAAGATGATTTCTTAAACGCTAAACTGCATTGGACCTCCTGAACCCCGAATTTCATTGTTTTAAAATAAAGAATATCAAGAATATCAAGTTTTTCTGCAAAGCATTGTAAAAACAATTTTTCTTCCTTCTTCCCACCATCTACCTACCTACCTACCTACCTACCTACCTACCTACCTATCTATCTCTATCTATCTATATCTATATATCTAAATATTTAAAGTCACAACTCCTGGTATGCCCAAATATCAATCTCTATCTATCTATCTATCTATCTATCTATCTATCTATCTATCTATCTA